GTAGGAAGCATACAGGAGTCAGCCAATTAATGATTCTAATCATTGTTGTTTCTACCTCTCTCTCCTTCTCCCTTCCTCTCTGAAATCAATATATATACTGATTGGCCAGATTATTATGATTTCTGAATGTATAAAAGTCTGGCCACTCAGTGTATATCCTATATAATAAAAGGCTAATATGCAAATTCTCCCTTCCACCATCAGGCAGGCCTGCCAACTGCCCATGTCCCCTCCCCCTGGCCAGGCTGGCCAGACCCCACCCACATAGAAATTCATGCACCAGGCTATATCTATATATATCTATATATATCTATCTATATATATATATATATATATACACTGAGTGTTATGTGTTATATAACATATATATAATGTATAAAATATTATATTTTATATAAATATATAAAAATTATATGTACAATTTTTACAGAGCATTTTAACTAGAATACCTTTAGTGGACTTAAGTGAGTTCTAAAGGAGTGCTAGATTTTGGTGGGAAAGAGAGACAATTAAATTTACATGGTTTAGATTCAAGGACAGCTAGAAAGGATTGAGTGAGTTTAGTCCTTGATGAAATTCTAGAACCTACCATGTTTCCCTGAAAATAAGACATCCTCTGAAAATAAGACCTAGCACATGGAAAGATAAGACATCCCCTGAAAATAAGACCTAGCGCAACTTTGGGAGAAAAAAATAATACAAGACACTGTCTTATTTTCGGGGAAACAGGGTATTAGTTGCATCAAGGTCATGGGGGGTCGGGGATCACCAAACCAATATTAAATAACAAATGCCCTAATGGAGAAAAGCTATTTAATTTTACATTGCAAATCGAAATTTTAGCTGATTTGGTGTTGTTCTGTCTAAGAGCATCACATTTTCTCTGATAGATCCTAGCTTTAAAAAAAAAATGCTTGATGATACTGTGTAGGTAAATATCATAACTGGCTTTCATAAAAAATTCAGTGTTTGCCAGTTATCTTGACAGATGCTTTACATACAACACATATATTCCCATAATTTTAAATTATAGGTTTTATCACACTCAGTTGGCAGATTGTGAACTTGTCATATTCAGATAGTCACAAGAATGTAAGTGACAGAACTAGACTAGACCCTTGATCTGAATTCATGAAGAGCAAGCACTTCAAACTCACAGCCGGCACACAATGTCCAAACTCTTCCACCCTAATTCAGACCTTATATATCTGCATTTACTCTTCTTCTCATTGCTCCAAAATATATTTTAGACAATTAAATAAAAAGTTTTGTGCTCCATGTGGTGGACTGGCATGCATAGCTAGAGCATTAAGCATAACAGACCATTGAGAAACCTGAATCAGGAAAGGCAGGAGATAATATCCAGTGATAATATGATCAGGGAGAATGGGACCTTACAAAATTACCTGGCTCAGCCTGTCTCTTCTCATTAGGAAATGTTTAGGAACAGGAGTTCATAAAAGGCCAAGTCTGGGTCCTAAAGAGAAGCAAGAGAAGATCCTGGGTTGTATGTGTGTGTTGTTGGTTTTGTCTGGACCCTGCCATCTAACCTGGGTCCTCTGCCTGGTACCTTAGCCTCCCCATCTACGTCACTCCTGAAACACAGACCTGTTTTGTGTAAGACTTTGCAGTAGGCAGGTGAGTCAATAGTTTGCTTTTTTTAAATTACATTTTATTAAGGTGACATTGGTCAACATGAACATACAAGTTTCATGTGTTTGTTTCTGTGTTATAAGATCTGTATATAGCACCACGTGCCCACCACCAAAGTTCAATCTCCTGTTATCTCATATGATGACTCCCTTCCTCTCACCCCCTCCCCTCTGGCAACCACAACACTGCTTTTGGCATTGACAAGTTTAAGTTTTAAATCCCACATATGAATTAAATCATATGGTTTTTAGCTTTTTATTACTTAATTCACTTAGCATAATGTTTTCAAGGTCCATCCATGTTGTTGCAGATGATGTTATATCATTCTTTTAAAAATCTTCTATGAATTTACTTACTTATTTTTTAATTTGTTGTCTAAAGTTTTACATATCTCTCCCTTTTGCCGATTGACCCCATCCTCCAGCCATTCCCACGCCCAGCAAACTCCCACCGCCCAAGTATCTGTGTCCATTGGTTAGGCTAATATGCATGCATACAAGTCCTTTGGTTGCTCTGTAACCCCCCCTCCCCTACCATTTGTCTCTGGATCTATTCTTGTTCATCAAATTATGTTGTTCATTATATCCCACATATGAGTGAGATTATATGATATTTATATTTCTCTGACTGGCTTATTTCACTTAGCATAATGCTCTCCAGTTCCCTCCATGCTGTTGCAAATGGTAAAAGTTCCTTCTTTTTTTATAGTGGCCTAGTATTCCATTGTATTTCATCCTTTTTATGGCTGAGTAGTATTCCATTATGTATATCTACCACTTACTCCTTATCCAGTCCTCTGTCAACATGTCACCCAATAAAATTAAACAAACAAAACACCAGTATATTCTATTACCAAAAAATAGCTTATTGTTTGCCTCAATGATTAACAGATAAATTGAGAGAAAATATCCTTTGAAATTTAAATGTAGAGTTCATATGCCTGTCTTGCTAATTTATATATATATATATATATATATATATATATATATATATATATATATATATAGTGATTTAATGAAAAAGAAAAGAGTTTTCAAGGATGTAGAATTTCTAGGGAAGCCTTTCCTTAAAGAGACAGGAGCCCAGATGAGGACCCAGATGAAAGACCTGCAGACCCTTCCCTCATCTGCTCTTAGAGCCCCCTGTGGGGCTATTTACTAGGACAGGGACACCCAGGGAGGTGAGGGCCTTGGCTAAGAGCTGGGGCCCCAGGGCAGTGCCCCAGGTCCTGAGAGCAGTGCAGGTGACAATCCCTGTGAGAGGCAGGCGTGTTCCACCCTACAACACAGGGGGCGCCAGAGTTCCCACCAACTGCCACCCTGGAAAGGCTCCAGAGATTCCACCAACTGTCAATCTGGAAAGGCCCTGTCTCTTTAACTGAGGGGCATCACCTTGGAAGGGAGAATTAGGCTATAGCTCCAGTCAAGGTGAGTTGGGGAAAGAAGAGTGAGCCAACCAACCCTCTGGAAGGCTCTGCCTCCCCCTGTAGCCCCGCCCCTCCTTCTTTGCTTAGCCCAATCCCACCCAGTTGCCCCGCCCCTCCCCCGTTGCCCAGCCCCTTTTTGCCCCCCTCCGGCCTTGCACTTGCTCTCAGGCCTGGGGGACCCTGGGCACAGCTCTCAGGCTGAGGGTGATCCCCTGAAAGCCTCTCAGAAGGTGGGAGCCTTGGGATGCGGGGGGGGGGGGGGGCAGGTCAGCAGGGGACAGTGAGTGATGCCCCTCCAGAGCCCAGATGAGGGAAATGGGAGAAACTCCGCCCATGGCTGCTCAAGGCTCCCTGAGCACCCAAACATGGAGGCCGTGGGGGGAGCCCTCCTGCCCCCCTGGGTGGGTCAGACACTGAGGGCCTTGGTCTTAGGGAGGGGACCGCGTCCTGGAGGTAGTAAGGGTATGACGTCAGAGGATCCCCAGGGGCTGCCCCTAGGACCTTGTGCTGCCCTCCACGTGGGAGGCCAGACAGCGAGGCTGACAGGCCGCCTCTGTAGCAAGAAGGAGAGGGTGAGGCCTTGGTCTGAGGGAGGGGACCGGGCCTTTGGAAACCAGGCTCAGAAGCCTGAGGTCCCCCAGGGGCCGCCCGCCCCTCATGAGGAGGCAGGGACCTTGCCGCTGCCCTCCACTCTGGGAGGCCAGGCAGCGAGGCTGACAGGCCAACTCTGTAGCCAGACAGAGAGGGTGAGAATTTGGTCTGAGGGAGGGCCCTCAAGTTAGGAAGCACCCAGGTGGGGCGGGGGTGGGGGTGGGGGCTGGGCCTCTGTGTGGACCCAGGGGTCCCCATCCCACTGCTGGACCAGGATGCCAGGAGGATTCCAGAAAAGATGGCTGAAGCTCCTGTTCTCCTTGGGTGTCCTGCAAGCTGGGTTGGGGGTGAGGGGATGGAGATGCTGGGTAGGATTGGCAGCTTTCATTTATGACGGACGGCTTGCCCTCACCAGTAGGCTGATATCCAGGTGTTTCCAGGAGTTTAAGGGGACATCTCCCTGAACCATCATATCTAAGTGAACACCCATGACCATAGTTAGAGAACCCTGTTCTCAGCCTTGGAGCATATGGGCAGGTGGGGTGACTCTCATCCTCATGGAAGGGCAGTCTCAGGAAATGCTGGAAGGAGAGAGGAATCCCAGGCTACTATACCAAAAGTCAAATGAAAAATTGAGGGGCCCACCCACCACTGAATACGATAGGATCCTGAGCCCCATCTTAGCATTTAGCACCTGAAGGGTAGGCCTATTAAGCTGAGACTCACCCTTACTTATTCCCATTCAATATAAGAGAAAAGAAGGCTTTAGTGTGAGGGTGCAGCCACCTGTCAGCAGTAGGAAGGTATGTTACCAGGCACTTCTTGGAGACCAGGTAAATACCCTGCACGGCTCCACATAACTGTTAGTTGGATGTCCCTTGACAGGCACAGGAGTTAAGGTATTTTTTCCCTGTCTCCGTAGGGTCTCAGAGATCTGCTAGCTTTGGTTTGAGGTGTCAATTTCACAGAAGCAGAATAGAGGGGACCCAGGACCTGCCAATATTTGACATGATGATTCTGATACTGGACTCTGAAGTATCTGACATCCCAGAACACAAGTTTCCCACTGGCTACCAGGATGTACTCTAAGATTACCTGTAACTGCCTCACCACATTACTCAAGGAACAGACTGATAAGAACTGAAGCCCTGTGTGTGGCTAGAGCACTGCCTTCAAGGAAACCTGCAGAGGCAGCTTTAGCTAAAACCAAGGTAGAATCCATCTTGACGCTGAAGACACTAGCAACATCTCATTGTCCTTCATCCTGGTGTCTCTATTTCCTGTTTTCCTGTCCAGACTCCTTCCTGCTGTCCCTGACCATAGTGACATCATGCCCCGGCATCGCAAAAATAAGAAACGCCATCATGCCCAGAGTGCACCTCAGAGTGGTGGCAATGCTCCGGCCACTGAAGAAGCTGAAGAGGAGTCCACTCTCTCCTTCTCTACTCAGTGTGAAGGTATTAGCCACCATCTGCCTGTGGCTGGGTCACATCACACTTCCCAGGGAACTCAAAGTATGCTAACCACCACCACCACTTCTGTAGCTGTTTCTTGCCCTGTGTCTGACGAAGCTTTCAGCAGCCAAGCTGAGGATGAGGCTGTCTCCTCTGAGGTCCCACTCTTCACAGAAGTCTCAGAGGTGGATGAGTTCAAAAACCAGACTGTGTCTTTGGAACAATTCATTCTGAACAAGTATAAGTTGAGAAAGCCCATTTTGAAAGATGATATGCTGCATATTGTTGGAAAAAATTACCAACACCGATTTCCTGAGATGCTCAAGAAAGTTTCTCAGCAAATTGAAACCTTCTTTGCATTAGACATGCATGAAATGGACTCAACCAGACACTCCTACACCCTTGTCAGCAAGCTGAAACTCCCCAATAATGGGAGGGTGCGTCCTGGCAAGGGGTTACCCAAGACTGGTCTCCTGATGCATATTCTGGGTATGATCTTCTTTTTTAAAAATTAATTTCTTTATTGGTAAAGGTATCACATATTTGTCCTCAATTCCCTATTCCAATCCCCCACCCTCCCTCATGCCCCCACCTTCCTATTGTCCTTGACCACTGGTTAGGCTCATATGTATGCACCTAAGTCCTTTGGTTGATCTCTTCCTTTTATCCCCACCCTCCCTTTGAAGTCCAACAGTCTGACCCATGGCTCCTTAACTCTGGGTCTGTTCTTGTTCATCAGTCTATGTTGTTCACCATTTCCCCTAAATGTGTGAGAAGAACTGGTGGCCCAGAAAGAAGCTCACAACAGACTGATGCATATGCCTTTCAGCATAACAATTATTGTTTGTCTCATTTTTGATTCTTATAGGTATGATCTTCTTGAATGGCAACTGTGTCTCTGAGGAAGAGGTCTGGAAAGATTTGCGTCTGATGCGTGTGTACCCTCGGAGGAAGCACTTCATCTTTGGGGAGCCCAGGAAGCTCATTACCAATTTTGTGAGGCTGAAGTACCTGGAGTGCCATCAGGTACCTCATAGTGATCCTCCTTGCAATGAGTTCCTGTGGGGTTCAAAAGCATATCAAGAAACCAGCAAGTTGAAAGTGCTGGAGTTTTGGGCAAAGGTCAATGGTACCCACCCCAGTGCCTTCCCATACTGTTATCAGGAGGCTTTGCGAGATGAAGAAGAGAGAGTCCGAGCCAGAATTATAGCCAGGGTTGCCACTACTACCCAAGTCACTGCACTTTCCAGGGCCATAGCCAGAACAACCCTTCTACCCATAGAGAAATCTAAAGCTTGTCATCCTTCACACCAGAATATATAATATCACAATAAGGATAATATTCTTGAAAGTATAAAAGGATCTCTATTCTAGTTGCTGGGATGATAGAATAGAAAAAAAAAGAATGATCATTCTGAGTTTTCCTTGTTCCTTTTAATTTCCAGATTTGTAAAATTAACTGAGTTATACTTTGATGTTCTTAGTTTATTCAAGAAATAGGATAAATTAAATCCTAAGAAATTAGATTTTGTGTTTACTGGCTCTTTTATCCATCACACACTGAATCTGCTGTTGAGGAGTCTCAGTATTAGGACTGGGGAGACTAAAGGAAATGCAGCCTTTTCTCATATAATTTTATAGCCGGCAAGTTGCATTCATATGAGGAAGATGTTCAAGCATCCCATAGAACCTAGAGGTAAAGTAAAAAGAATGGATGAGGAAGAGGGTTGAGAGCAGTTGGGCAGAAATTTCCAGAGCAAAGCAGTTTGGAAATTTAGGCAATTGTAAGTCCTTAGTGGGTTGTAATTTTCATTTATGCTACGTGGTGGGCCTATGAAAGCTGTGGAAATGGTGAGCAGAGGCCTGACCTTCCTATGTTGTTCTTGAGAATTGGGAGACAAAGGGTGAGTTAGTCTGCTCTGTCTGCTCTGACAAAATACCACAGCCTGGTAGCTTAAACGTTTTCACCCTTTGTGGCCTGAGAAATGCACAATCAATGTGCTGGTGGATTCAAGTGAGAGCTCTCTTACTTGCTTGCAGATGGCCTCCTTCTCCCAGTGCCCTGGCCAGGTAGAGAGAAGGCTCTCATCTCCCTTGTGCTTCTTATAAGAACACTAATGGAATCTTGGACACCATGTCCTCATGACATCTACAAAATCTAAGTACTCCCCCAAATCTCCATTTCTAAACACCATTACACTTTGGGTTAGGGCTTCTACATGCGATTTGGGTGATGGGGAAGGGGACACCATCATTTGTCTCTAAATGACAACTGCTGCTACAAGTTACTTTGGCACTCTGGAGAGAAATCTCCTGGGTCAGGATAAGAAGGTACCCTTTGTTCTTGTCATAGTGCAGGTGGACACAGTGAATACCCTTCAGCAAACTCGGTGTTCTATGCTCATCATCTCCTGGCAGTTGCTGAGAAATAGAGATGACATTCCTTGAGGTGAGATGCCAAGAAGCCACTGTGCTTTACCCTGAGTTGGACAAGGAGAACCTGCTCACTTAAATGGGTATTTCACTCAGGTTATCTTGAGAGAGTTTAGCAAACTCTAAGTGAGGGCTAGCTTTTGTCCATGGTGTGATGAATGTAAACAGAGGTGTTGTGGATGGAAGGGCAACTGGCAGGGATGGAGGGACTTGCTCCTTGACAGCAATTCTAGAAGCTTGAGGTGCATCCAGCTGGGGAAGGCAACTGCTCCCCTGAATTAAATGAGAGGCACTCTAATGTGGAAATTTTACTTACTTTCCTTAGGTAGGACCATTTTTTGTTTACTGAGTGTTCCTTGTATGAAATAATTACATCTTTTATGACATGTCCTGGATTCAAGTATATGCCAAGCAATGTGGTTGGTGTCATCTGGGATGAAAATTATATCAACTGTCATTTAAAAAATACAGGGTGGCCCAGACTGGTTTGTCTCATTGGATAAATTTTTTTGCTTTCATAACAAATGGTTCTGGCTTTGATTCTGGTCAAAGGCAGGTACCTGGATTGTAGGCTCCTCCCCAACCCTGGGCCCTGGTTAGGGCATGTGCAGGAGTTGTGTCTTTCTCACATAGATGTTTCTCTCTGCCTTTCCCTCTCTTACACTCACCCTAAAAATGGAAAAATATCATCAGGTAAGGATTAAAAATATATATGGTAATATTTGCTAGCCATCTTTCCATGTGGTTTATATGTTTGTTGTAGAAGAGCAACACCTGGGAGATTATATATATATATATATATATATATATATATATATATATATATATATATATAGCAAATTCTCCCTGACAATTGAATTCAATTTTTATATGGTTGACTGTATGCAACTAATATTGGCAGCAACAATAACATTGATCACTGACACTACTAAAAATGCTGTGTTTATATGTTTGTTGTCCAAGTTTATATAATGCACTTGTGCTACTTTAAATATGTAATTTTTCATTGTTGCCATTAATTCCAAGTAGTGACTGACAATGTACTTTTTAAAAATTTTTAAATAAATATTTATTGTTCATATTATTACAGATGTTCCTCTTTTTTTCACCCATTTATCCCTTCCACCTGATTCCCCACCCCACCCCATGCCCTTTACCCCCCCTGCACTGTCTTCATCCATAGGTGTAAGATTTTTGTCACTTATTGATGTGAGGAGTTGAAATCTGGTTTCTCACACTGACCACTTAGTACATTGGCTTCTGGATCTCTAATGAGGTGCAAGTCAGCTACTGTCTGAGGCCACCCAGTAGGAGATAGAACAAGAACTACAGTTTTCTCCACTTCACTTGGGGTTTGGAGGTTTTGGAGCTATCTGACCAGGGCTGCAGTTTGCTAGGTTAAGCTGCAATAGGTCAGGGTATTCATATGCAAAAGCCTCTGCTTGGAGCTTGGGTGGGTTTGTAGGTTGTGTGGGGCAGGGTCTCAGGGAGTCATTAGGTTAGGGTGTGGCAAACAGCCATGGCTGCCAGTCAGCCATCTCTGTCTCTCCCAACCTCCTCCCTGCCTCTGCGCCACAGCACAGTAAACAATTATTCCTGCTCACAGCTCTGCAAGCAAGCCACTCTCACTTTTAGACCAGATGGCAGACAGTCCAGCTTTTCCTTGTAGGAGTTTGGGTCCTCCACGTCTCCCCAGAAACTGGATTTCAGAGTAATTGGGAGCTCCTCCTCCTCTTCTTCTTCTTCTTCTTCTTCTTCCTTCTTCCTTCCTTCCCTCCTCCTCCTCCTCCTCCTCCTCCTCCTCCTCCTCCTCCTCCTCCTCCTCCTCCTCCTCCTCCTCCTCCTCCTCCTCCTCCTTCTTCTTCTTCTTCTTCTTCTTCTTCTTCTTCTTCTTCTTCTTCTTCTTCTTCTTCTTCTTCTTCTTCTTCTTCCCCCTTTATTGTTGGGATATCCAGGTAGTATCAATTTAACTGAAAGGTTTTTTTTTTAATGTTTAATGGTTTTTATTTATTTATTTTAATTTCTTTATGGAAGGTCTTACATGTGTCCTGATTCTCCCATTACCCCCCCCAGCCCACATTCATGCCCCCACCCCCCTGTTGTCTGTGTCCATTGATTTGGCTTGCTTCCTCCCTTCCTTCCTTCCTTCCTTCCTTCCTTCCTTCCTTCCTTCCTTCCTACCTTCCTTCCTTCCTTCCTTCCTCCCGCCCTTCCTTCCTTCCTTTCTCTCTTTCCAGATAATTTATAAATGTCTTGAATGTGTCACTTATGGATGCAAGGAGTTAAAGTATAGCCCTGTTGATGGTGAGGTAAGGCTATGTGAGTGGAGAACTGACACCAAAGCATCAAATGATGTGGTGCAGAGTTATAGACTAAAGCCTGTAAAACCAAAATCATACAGCGGTTATCTTTGAACCTGGATTCTTTTTAACAGAAGATTTTTATATATTTAAGAAGAAGAAGATAAGTTTATGAATCACCATTTTATATTTAGTGCTGTGTATCCAATTTAAGAGTAAGAACTATTCTCTTTCATAAAATAAATTGAAAAAATTCTGTCTTATGATTTGAAACAGAATAATGTGGCAATCAATTAACTGTTTGTTTGGAAATATTAAATAACTCAGCAGTAAAATTATTGTGCTCAGGAAATAGAGGTAAATTAAATGAAAGATGTTTAACTATTAGATACCCTAAACTTATATTTTGTTTGAAATTTTTGAACATACACACACACTTGGATTTACCTAGCTTATTTAAAAATGTAGCAGAAATTAAATTTTAATCAATCAGATACTGTGTTTACTGGCACATTCAATCCCTAAATATTAATTAGGTATCTGCTTTCTGGGAATGGAACAATTTCTGCCACTGGAGCAATTGGACCTTTGTATGTATCATGGAAGTTGTAAATGATAATTAAACAGAAGGAGGTAGAAGGTGGGAATGTAAGCACCATCTCTACTAATAATATACAAACATTTAAATTGACTGTACCTCTGTGATACCCACATCCAATTAGGAGTACATATGCAAATTAACCTGACAAAGATGGCAGGACTGTGGGCATCATGCATGCGCAGAGGCACCAAGCAGCTGAGGGTGGGGCAGGATGCCCCTGGCTGCTCTGGGCCTATGCACACAGGTGCCAAGAGGCTAAGGGCAGGGTGGGATGCCCACCTGCTTGTCAAGTCATGGGGGCAATGCAATAGGTGTCCCCAGGACCCTGCCCTCTTCAAGTCTGTGGCCAGAGTATGCACTGAGTGGCCAGGTCCCAGGGATGCCACTGGAGTGTCCGGTCCTGTCAGCCTGGCCTGCGGTGGCTGAAGTTACCAGTTCTTTTGGTTTCTGCAGCCCTGGACCAGAAGTGGAAAACCAAGAGCATAGGGAGCACCAAGAATGCTGGGAATCATAGTTCTGGTGGCAGATACATTGTGGGATCTCCTAGACACCAGAGCAAAGTGAGCCTGGAGCAAGTTACTGTTGCAGGTGGGGGACTGAGGGAAAGCAGAGGTGATAGGTATGAGTAAAGACACAGTGTCAAGAAAAAATTAAAAAGAAGATATCCTGCAACTTCTAGGAAATCTCCCCCAGTGGAGAAAATACACACACACACACACACACACACACACACACACACACACACACCCCTCTATTATTCTGTGAGCACCAAACCAAACTGGATTGGGGTCTCAGACAATCTGCTGATATGATTGCAAAGACAGACAGAAAGTCCCAGATTGGAGAGGGCTCCCCTGAGAGCTCCCAGATTGGAGAGGGTGCAGGTCAAGCTGAGCAACCCACGCTGGCATGCACTGGGCCCCTGGTTGAGTATAAATGCTTTGAGACAAAGCTATTTAAATCTTGGGAAACTACAGTGCTTCAGTAGT